AGTGAGTAGTTTTAATTAAAAAAATTATAGAAATATCTCCCATAGCTTGATCAACAATTGGAACAAAGCTAGCACGCTCTAGCCCTCGGCCATCATGACTTGTGACTTTGTGCTAACACAGCTGTCGACGACCCTCAATAGTTTCGTCTACTCAATGTGACTCAAAAGACTTGGCTCAACCGTGGTATGGTTTTCAGGCACTTTGGAAAGGTGCCGCACGGTGCGATCGACCTCGAACCATTCAGATTACATCAGGAAGTCTCCTGTTCAGAAAGCGAACACTTGGCCACGTAGATATATATATATATATTCAGAAATTGTGCTATATTTATGGGATAAAGTGCTCAATATCAGAGCGTGTGTAAATAGTACTAAGCGCAAAGAAAGATAAAAATGGGTAAAGGCATCTTGGTATATATTTATATATATATATATATATATATATATATATATATATATTCAGAAATTGTGATATATTTATGGGATAAAGTGCTCAATATCAGAGACAGAGCGTGTGTAAATAGTACTAAGCGCAGAGAAAGATAAAAATGGGTAAGGCATCTTGTGCATACAATGCAAATGCACAAGATGACACCCTATATTCCATTTTTCCCATGAAAAATGTAAACACAATAGCAAGAACATGTAGGTGAACATTGAAGTCAACACTGTTTCATGCTAGACTATTGCCTCTAGCATGAAACAGCCTGTCGCCTCTAAGCGTTGACGTCAAAGTTCACACACACTCACACACACACACACACACACACACACACACACATATATATATATATATATATATGTGTGTGTGTGTGTTTAAATTATTATTCAACCATTTTTTTTCCTTTTTTTACATTTATAGTATTCTTCCCATTGTTTACTTTTGAAGAAATGACTTATGTAACAATTTCCTGTATTGATTAACATAGATGTTTCATGGGCAATTATGTTTGCTAACTAAAATTCCTTTCAAAGTTTCGTACTCGTTATAGCTTTGGACGGTTGTTTACCTGAATTTTAGCCACCATAAAATAATCATCTTTTTTATACACGATTTATTCACTCATCTAATCGAAACTATTTTGCGGTAATAGTTGCCAAGGTAAAGCTAATCTTCAATTAAATAACAAGTTTTCCTCATCAGATTAGGTTTAGGATTTTAAAGAGTATATAATGTTTCATTAAGTGAAACAAACTAAAATTTTGACTGGCAAGTCAAGCTGTAAAATATTCAAAAACTTTAATGATCGACATAAAGCGTGAACGATTCCTTTGATATTCCTCATGGAGAAGTATCGATAGAATATCATCTGATTTGATTAAATTTCTGTTTAAGTGTTTCTCAATACAGGTCAATACTGCTCGGCGAACAAGGAAAAGCAGTGAAGATCACGTTGCTTAAGAGTTTGCGAATTATACAAATTAAATAAAAATAAAACCCACACGAACCTTTACAGCCATTCTGACAATGATTGATCTTCACATGAACGGGGCAACTAAAGATCGGATAAAAGCAGCAAAGAAATCTAACAATAGATCACGCGAATAAAATCAAGGACAAACTAAAAATCAATGAAGAAATCAAAGACGAAAAAGAATCATGTACTACCAAAATTATGAAAAGTCTCATAAATTGATATGGCAACAATCTTCATAGAACTGGTTGGTTTTTGTGTTGTCCCTAACTTAAGGAAATAGACTCATCCTGATGTGTATATATGCGATTTTGTAGTTAAAGAATGTGTGTAATTGTGGAATGGCTTCAACGTTGTTTGAGTGCAGACAAAAAAAAAACTCTAAGGTTTCTAGAAAGAATGTAAGCTCTTATCGTAGACCGTTTATACTAACATGTGTCTGAAATAGAAGTATCAAAAATATTTTTTTTTTAAAAAATACGCGAACTCCATACTAATACTCTCGAAGTATATAATGTTTGCAAGATTGGGATCACCATCCAAGATTATACTGTTCCACTAACAAAGGGAAAGGTTTCATAAAAATTAGAGTTTATGTTGTGTTGCTCAACCCAGAACTCAGTAAACTCTGCAGCATGCATTATATTCAATTTGAATTTTAGACTGAATAAAATAATACAAATAAAACAGTAACGCAGTTGCATCGGTGATTGCTTTACCTGAGCCAGAACACAGACCAGTGAAGTACCGCATCGCTTTGTCAGATATTTATGCTTCCAGCCCTTTTGGGCTGACTGTTGAGTTCGCATGACGAGGAGACACGAAAATATGCATCCGGCTTCTCAGTTATGTTTATGCAAATATCTAAGTGTTGTCTCCTGATATTGCTTGTGCTCTGTCAGATTCCGCCATGGTTCCTGTTGAAACTAGCGTGGGCTTTGACATGTTCTGTAAATACATATCATGTTGCTGATTCTTTACAAACTTTGATGCTCACCCTATTCCTCGGTGGTGATGGTTTGGTTATACACGATAACACAAGAGAATGTCATGTGAGCGTAACACAAGACTTATTAAACGAAATAAGGTGAATCCAGGTACCCCATTACCCCGACTTCTTCAGATTTGAACTTTACCCAGCAATTATGTTTCAGATCTCACAAAATAGTCGTTAACTAAATACAACAATCACAAATGGGTAGTTCTGATATGTACATAGATAGATATAATGTGGCGATATACAGTGCCACGGAGATATATGATACTTAGCGTAGCTGCCGTTATTCAGGCAAGGTGAATATCTTCACATTATTAGATATATGTCGATAGCTTTTTGGCACATCAGTTAACAACCAGGCATATGGAAATCACCATAGAATATGCTCAATGATCCCAGCCAAAATAGAACGCGTAAAGCAGACAGCGTTCACTCTCCTAATTTTCCTCCGCAGCGCATCACCGACAACAACTTTAGACAATCAAATTATTTGACAGCATGAAAACAGACTTGTCTTAAATTTCTCTTTCTTTCCCTTTCTTTTGTTCATTCAACTTTCTGTATCGGCCTTGCTTCCCTTTTCTTTCCCATCTCGTAGTAGTCAAAACAATAATGTATTGAAACAAAAGCAACTCTTTTTTGATTTCGTAATACGTAAATGAAAACGCTTAATGGAGACGAATCAACGTCAAATATCTGTATTTAATTAATGGTGTCCGTTTGAAGGATATTTCCAAAATAGACTACCACTGACATTGCAAATTAAGTCGACGTATGATACACTGTTTCTCGAAATAGATTTCAGAAATACTGTTCTGTAAAGGAGGAGGACGTGAACAAGCTGCTTAAATCGAAGGAAAGAAATTGAATTTCGCCTCAAGATGAAACACAAAAAGATATAAAGTATAAAGACAAATCTAAAAAGCAAATAGAATTTACGTTGTGATGAAGAAGAAAAGAAAGTAAAACAGTTTGAAAAAGAAAAGCAACGAAAACATTAACCATTCAAGACAAAAAAAGACGTGGCTAAACAATTATGAATAACAAAAGTGAGAAACAATGGCAAGTAAAAGCGAACAACGTAAGCATTTTCCAATATACGACAGAATATGAAAAAAACGGGAGAAATGCTGAGGAGAAAAAGAAGTGAAAAGTGAGACTAAATAGCAGAAATGTATGAGGGTAAGAATTAATTCGAAACAATCAGAAATATGAAAACCAAAAAGAAATACAGAGGAAATTTGAAATCAAAAGATAAATTACTGTGAAAGCAATGATCGGCTTAAGGGACGATACAAATACATTAACTTATGTTTGGAATTAACTCGTCATATTTAAGATCATTGAGATTGTGCGTTGTTGGAACGGATTACGTAAAATCTAGAGTTAACATATGTTAAAATAACCGGGTAACCTCAGAGAAGATTTTATTTTCTATGTCTGTTTTCGGGCGTCAGATGTAAAACTGCATAAAGTAGTTTGTTTTGTTTTACGCCATATCAACCTCAATGGGTTATTTAATGCCAAAAAGAGTTTTTTTTTTATTGCTGGTAATATTTTTTCTTTAACAATGTATTGCTCGAAATATTTTTTTTTTCAAATATATATATGCTGGTAATTTTTTTCTTCAAAATTTCGTTGCTGGTAATAACATTTTTTACAAAAATGCATTGCTGATAAAGGTGAACAACGTAAGCATATTCCAGTAAACGACGGTGAAAACATACTATTACACGTGTTGACCCCAGGTTCGGGGTTAACTATTTCCCAATAGCTCGGACCCTAATAGGTGCTACCACCCCGGGTCAGAGTGGATCTGGGAACACCAGCAATTAAGAGGTGGTCCCACGCTCCTCAAAACCTCCTGTTCAGAGGATAAAAATTCATGCTTTACTACAACTAAGCGAATAAAATATCTGACATATCGTAGAAGGAAGTGAGCACAATCTTTTCTATTGTTCTACTACACTATCATTTAATGAAAAAACAAATATCAACACGATTGTCATGAATGACGATGGGAAATTTTAGTTTTTGTTGAATGTTTTTTCAGTAAATTTCAAAATAGAATTTAAATACAATTTTAATATTCTCTGGATATACTGCGTATTGTTATAAAATAATTTTAACCGCAGTGCAACGTTTAATTTTTCCTAAGTAAATGTTCCTGGCTAGCAAACATCAAACGGGTTTGGTATAAATTTAGTTAAGCAGCTTTACTTTGGACTGTATCACTTGTATTGAACTTTAAGTGGCATGTCTGTATTTAGAGAATTCTAACCACTGACAAAACTTTTGTAGAAATCACGAAATTGACAACTATTGCCGGAAGATGAAAAGTAAATAAAAAGCAGTAGGGTTCGCGAGAAATTCCAAGTAATGGCAGAAAAAAAATAAGGAAATAACGGTAAAAACGACCAATGAATAAGAATAAAGTGGGAGTGGCTTCAAATAGAACGATGAGATAAGAATTTTAAAAAAAATGAACCAGAGACTGAAGGAAACGAATGTGTAAACTTTTTAAAAAAAAGAAAAGATAATGTGGACTAATGTGAAATGAAAGAAAAAAAATAATGACTGAATGATACACGAATATGGAAGTGAGAGAGAGAGAGAGAGAGAGAGAGAGAGGCGAATGAAAAGAAGGAAAAATACAGGGAATAAAACGCTGTGACTAACACTACATTCTCTATCTCCTGATTGAAATCTACATACTTCATGTTTAAAACATGAACGCATTGACTGTGGCTGCTTATCTTTATTGACAGGTAAATCGAAGTGCTTGGCCATTTCAGGTAATCGATGCATACTCGTGTCTATTCTCAGAAAGATCACTGGGCGTGGTGTGCTGAAGTGTTCCGGGTAAATGCTGCTCACCTGAGAGCATTTTACTTTCGGTTTGCTTCAGGTAAAATTTAAAAAAATCAAGAAAAAAGCGGAAGCCCTGTTTTTATACTAAAGTTTTGTGAAGAATATATATATTTTTTAATTCCTTTTTTTTTTTTTTTGAACATGTTGAATAATCATGAAAGCCAGCGGGTCAAATGGGCTAAATTTAAGTAGTGAGAACCGATAAACTAATTATATTCTTTAATAATTCAAATTGAATGTATGCAGAAGTAAAGGTAGAAAGTACCTTGTATCAAGAATGAATAAGTTTCTATAAATTTTACTGTTAGTGTCTCAGTTTTATTTCTTTCTTTTGTCTCGGAATTCCCTTCCTCCCTTTTGTCTTCTTTAAATTATGGTTATCTTTTTCTGTATAATATATATATATATATATATATATATATATATATATATATATATATATATATATATATATATATAGCTGTGCAGATTTATTCTTTTTTATTAATGCCTTGTTTTGTCTCTCCGGAGCCACGTTTCAAGATATTTTCCCTTCAATCCTCTTCCTTTATCAATACAATTGACACTCTGTAACCAGCTACTCAGAAACTGTCACTTCCTCTTTGTATGTTTATAAATGCCTTAGGCTATTTATCACTGCTTAGATGTAGTCCATTTTACTGTCTCTATTTCTTCTTAATCTCACTGTCTAACTATTAATGATTGTCCAGTTATACCTTCTCCCATATGTTGAAAAATCAGCTCTTTTTTTTATTAGTCCTTACATTCTGAGGATACCATAGACCGAACATCAGAACAACAAGGAGGATTTACAGAAAATGGAAACAAAAAGAAAACGTATACTTAACATCAGGAGGAGATGGATGAAATTTTGGTTCGATGTAGTGAAGAAGGAGGGTTTCGGAAAATCTGATGCTCACAGGACAGGTTGAGAGAAAGAGGGACAGAGGAAAACAGCACATGAGGGGCAAATGGATGGAAACATCGTTTTGGGGAGAAATAACAAACATATAAAACTTAATAAGAGCTGAAAGGAAGAGAAAGATTCGTGGAGTCATTATCGGCTACGTCCTGAAGGGACACGACACAAAAAAAGAAAAATGTCTCTTTATAAACTTATAATCTCCATAACAATATCTTCATTCCATCTCTACTTACCAACAAACTATTTTTTTATTCTCACTTTAATCTACGTTATCGTTTCCCTTCTGTGTAAGTAACACCAAATATATGCTTTCGTTTTCCATGCACACAGATGTTCAGCGTCTTTTCCCAGTATTTCTATGACCAACACTCGAGGTACACAAATGAAGATATTTGCCTCATTTCATATACTATTTTATATTGCTACTACACAAAATAATTAATCAATTGAATTATAAATTCGAATCTCATTAGATATCGATTTAAGAAATTGACACTTTGATAGTAAATGTTTTGAGAGGTCATCCAGTGTGCAGCACTGGTTAGGAAATAACCGAAATCACCACAATGTGCTGACTCAAGATTTTAGTGAAACACGATAGAAGAAAGAGTTCAGGAGCAATTGACGGTTGTACTTGCACAAAATCACAACTCATCATTATCAGGTGTTTGAGTAAAAGGGACATTTTTAACTGTAGACATAACAAATGTGTGTTCTCTACCAGAAACTGTAACCAAGGTCTGCTCAATACAATTGATGTTATCTCTTTGGGTGTTGCAAAAACACAATTATGCCTGAAAAGATGTTTGAAAGACGGCTTATCGATTTAACGTAGCATAGAGTTAAATTGAGTTTCAGGCGGTGGAGTCGACTGCAGAGGATGACGCCGGTTTGAATCCTGCCGGAAGCCATTTTTTTTTTAAGATCTTTTCTCGTATGTGCATGCCGGTATACGAAATATACTTAAAAAAAACTGGACGTCTCTTCAAATATGGGTCTCTAATATAAATAAATTTGAAGTAATAAAAATATGTATATTAACAAATAAAATTCGTTAACTCTTTAGAAATAGTTTTGTTTACGTTTCGGATACAAAACTCCGTAGAATGGGTCACGAGAAAATCTGAAAAAGTGAATTTGATTTAATGGCAAAAAGAACCTTGCTTGATTTTGAAGATATTCGGGAAGGAGCGGTCAAAGGACGCCGGGTTAGTAAGTGTTTTTGTTTTTTCTTGAAAAGGTGAACGTAGGTTTAATTTCTGAGATTTTGGGTAACGCTGTTAATAGCAAAAATGCAACAGTTATATTGAAAAAATTCCAATCTCTAAATTTATCTAGATCATTGTTTTCCTCATACTCTCTGTCCAGAAATCTCGCCCATAAACATATATACATGTACAAACACACACACACTATATATATATATATATATATCTATATATATATATATATATATCAGTATGTATATGTGTTATTAAATTTATATCGAATCGATGCTGTTGACTTACAGTGATCAGTCTTAAAAAAGTTACATTTTGTGCAGGTTTAATGCTAATCTACTTTTATGTGATTTCAATTACGAACTGAATGTACTTCGTTTGGTCTTATTTTTCTGCTTCACTTCAGTTTATGAATTATATGCTTCTATTTTCACTGACACTTCCTTTGTATAAGGTAATTATCAGCCTAACTTTATATATATATATATATATATTTGTGCATACTGATGGAATGAAAAATTATAAAACCTATAGGAAATAAGAAGTAAACAATTTACAAATAATTGGCATTTGAATAATTTTTTGTTTGTAAGTCTTTTTCAACCATACGCCAACAACGGTGATTTGATTCAACCTGATTTGAAAAATAAGAAAAATCAAGGCGTTATTGCGGATGATATTCGAGTTACTTACAAGGATTTATTTTATAATTAAAAAAACAACATAGATCTGTTTTTGGCTTGTTTATTGAGATGAGCGCGAATGCGGACCCCACACTTACAAATAACGCACTCTAATCCACCACATTTGGGGCGATTGCAAAAGTCCATCCAACCGGAATGCAATGTTAGGATCTCGCTGTGGTAGAATTTAGTATGAACTTTTGTCACTATAAGTTCCTTTTATTTTTGGGTGAATAAACATTTTGGGGTGAATTAACAGAAAAATCCACTGATCATATAAGCATTCTGGAAATGTAGCAAGTATATTAGCTTCGCCGAAATTTAGTTTATTTTCCTTACAGGCATTGACAAAATAATCTCTTTTCACAGGTAAGTGCAAAATCAGAGGGATAATCTTCTGAGATGGCAAAAGCAGCATGCGTTACAATACAAAACACTTGAATACATTATAGCATTTGATTTAAAATTAAAAGAAAGACACCACCATAGATAGTTTCTAGATTTAGGATGTTTGCATTATTTGCGTTGTGTAGAATTATTTTCCCCGGGTATTCTTCAGGTTTGGCGCCTTAATAACGAACTGGAAGAAGACAGTCTCCACCACCAGTTTGTTTTTGAAGTCGGACAACTTGATTCAAATCATCCTTAGGCTAATTCAAATAGCTTTTCTACTTTGGTTTCATTGATCAATCTGCAGGCAATCATTGATTGCAAATCGGTGCAAAGAGCATTGGTTGCTTCTAGCTAGAGGATCCTCTATATATTTCGACGCTCAGGAAATTATCGTTCATATTACTGGCTATCTGTCCAAAGTATGTGGCAATTTGTTTAGATTTACATCTGACCTCTCAGTGATTTTGTATTGGATAAGAAGATGCATGTTGTTTTTGCGTTTTTTTTTTCTTGCAAACGTTTTCCTCTAATATATATATATATATATATATATATATATATGTGTGTGTGTATGTATGTAAAATTATTAATTTTTCCAAAATTTATTGATCACATATGGTGTCAGAGAAAATAAAATCCCATTAGAAGGGGTAAAAGCAAATAGTATTTTTGACTCACTGATGACTAATACTTAACAAATAGTCACATGAGTTTTTTTGTTAAGCCAAAATTTTTAAAGTACTCGTATTTCCTAGTTAGTAACTTGTATCTTTTGCTCGCCCCCACTACTCTGCTGACTCGGTGAGGGTGTGCATCGCGGAGTGGCGCAGTTGTAGCTCAGGTGTGGTGGGAGGCAGACGCCAGCTGGACTATCGATTTACGGAAATCCGAGGTGACTAATGTAGGGATAAGTTTCTTCCATCGGACGGTCCAAGTAAGAGAGGAAATATAGTTTCACTTACCGGTCTGTTTATGTAAATGCAGGAATTGATCCAAACTGCATAATCCACAATATATTGAAGTAGGTGTGCCAAGAGGCCTTTCTTTGCATATATATATATATATATATTTGAAAAGATAACGGTTAGTTTGTAGATATACGAACTGAGATCCAATTTGGAAAGTTCTTTGGTAATGTTACATAACACTTTGTAGAATCAATCAGTCAATGAATATTCCATCAAAATACATTTGTTTGCATTACAATCTAAAATTATTATACAACATCTCTCTCTCTCTCTCTCTCTATATATATATATATATATATATATATATATATATATATATATATTCTATATTTATTGATAAAAATGTCCAATAACGGATGTAGACCGTATTTTAATATAAAAGGAATACTGAATAAAAGTTCAACAGCGACAGTCTGTTTCATGCCTGAATACAATCTTCAAGCATGAAACAGACTGTCGCTGCTTGAAATGTAATTCAGTGTCCATTTATACGTCCATTTTATCATTTTAATGCCAACTTTATTAAAAATGATAAATAAAATCGACAGGTTTTTGCTTCCATTTTCTTCAATTGTTTATCCATTATAATTGTAAATATCTTTATTCGAATCTCTTTTATTTAACATCGTTATTTTGAGATTGCATTTTGGAATAAACAAAACAAAGATAAGGTTGTGATCTGTAGAGAACAAATGAATCACCCTGTTCTAACTGATATATTTAAAAACGATTTAGTATCTAAAGAAGA